CTAAACAGTAACCGTATGGCGGCGTGAACAGTACCCGGCTGCGTGAACAGTGCCCGGCTGCGTGAACAGTACCGTAGCTTCACTATTCATTTATAACAATATAAATATAAAAAACAGTAAACGGAATAGTGAATTATACAAAGTTGCAACAAACATATCCGGAATAGTCATACTGATTACGAATTTAATGTTATCCGATTAATAAATTTCGTATTCGTTTATAATTTATGTCAACTATATACGACAATATAAAAAATGTTTTTGATTTTAAATATAAAAAAACAAAATTCAGTTTAATATTAAATCTCTTATAAAATAAACTTATTAATGCAATAAAATATTTAAAAATAACATAAGGGGTAGGCATAATATCCGAAAAAATCGAACCGATCCGTTATCCGATCCGTATCCGAATCGAAAAATTCGGATATCCGGAGTTTAGGATCGGATACGGATATTTATTTTGAAATATTTATCGAATACGGATCGGATACGGATATCAAATTCGAATTATCCGACATATCCGATCCGATCCGTACTAATTAATAATATTATTAAATATAAAAATAATTTGCTATAAAATTTTAAAATGTTTTATATTTACATATTTTATATGTATATTCAATAAATATTTTGTATATATTGAGATTTAGAATATTTAATCTTTTGAATATTAAAATTTATTATGTTTAATTTTTGAATTTTGAACTTTCAATATATTTGTATATAATAGATTATGATTATATTTGTATTTGAATTGATTTAAAATATTTAAATTATGAAAGTTAAATTGTGAATAACATTTATATTAAATAACTTATATATTTTCTTTTATATTTAAAATTGTTATTTAAATTTGAATTTAATTTTTATAATTTTTATGTCGGATACGGATATTCGCAAATATCTGCGATATTTACGGATATCCGAATATTCGCAAATATCCGTGATATTTACGGATATCCGAAATTTCGGATATCCGTAAATTACGGATCGGATACGGATCCGTAAATTACGGATCAAATACGGATAATAAAATCGAGTATTTGTGCGGATCGGATACGGATACGGATATCTCAAAAATCACGGATATACGATCCGTACTCACCCCATTAAGGATAGATATACTATTATTCTATAAATAAAAATAATAATTACATCGATATCACCATTAACTCTTATAGGAAACATTAAAATCTTGGTGATTTAGTGTATTGCATGTTTTTAATTGTTAACTAAGATTACATACAATTTTGATATTACCCATATTTTCTTAATCGATAATAAGTACAGGAAATTAAAAAAGTTGTATTTATTTGTATTTGTCATGTAACTAATGACCCGTTAATCACTAGACCAAAGAAATTTTTCCTATTTTTCAATCGTATTTATGGAAATTTTTATAATCATGCTAATTATAATATAAATTCCTAAATTTTAATTTTTAAGATTATTAATTTCTTCCTATTTTATCTCGTATAATATAATTTGGATATTTAATATATTTTCTAAATTTATCATCTTTTATGTGAAGTAATTAACGTTGCAGTTATTAAATATATTACTTCAAAGTTTTGGACTTACCTTTGGCATTCTTGACATTTATACGGTTGATTCCATATGCATATGCTAGACGTACATTAAATATGGCGATAACGTTTTTTTTACTAAAACCCGAGTAAATTTATTGAATTAAAGAGATAAAAAAAAATATTGGTCAGTTCGTTTATAATTATATACGTCAATTTAGTACATTGATATGCATATGTGTATATACAATATATACACGTTGAAAATATCGCTTAGATAATCCTTTTTCATTAACTTAAATAAAATCCATTTGAACTACTTTATACATAATAAGTTATTATGTGATGATTTTATATCTTTATATCGAAAATTTCAGAATTTTAAAATTCAGTTATCATATAATATAAATTATGTACATATATATGTATATATGCGTGTACGTGTATGGGGTTCAAGCTAGTTCCTTGTGCATCCATCCATGCCAACTAATGATGCCCACAAATATTCTTTGGCACATTGTTTTATAGTTTCGCCAAATGGCCTAATCACATAACTTAATGAATCCTTCTCCACAAAAAAAAAAAAGACTAATTATCATAATTTTATTTTATTTTTCTTCCTAATCAGGCTATGAAATGGACCGACCAATCGAAATTAGAGTTCTAGTCTTGTAAGAAAAAGATTTGGGCAAGAGAGGTTGGGGCCCCCCCGTGTCAGTCCCCCTCAACTTAATGACTGTAATTACTTTTTCTTAATCTAATTAATTTTCCCTGTTCATACTTGTAAACTTGATACTCCCGTTTTGTGGATTAATAAAGTAATAAAGATTAAAAGCCTTTGAGCTGCTTAGGGTTTAGGTTCATATATACCGCTTCCATCAATATAGAGTTTCATAAACTCTATAACTCTGTAATATAGTTTTACCCGATAAATTAACCGTATAGTTTTATTATAATAGTTTGATATATAATCTTTCTATATTTTAGCATGATGATTTTGTAATTCATATTCACAATAACTCGAACATCACTGTGAGTAAAAAAAAAACTAGTTCGAAGGTTTTTTCAAATAACAAAATATCGATGCACGTAGTTTTATATTCCCTCGTGATTAATAAAAAATATATATTTTTCATCAAAAAAAATATATGTTTAAATTTTCAGATGTAGGAAAGTGTAGTTTTTGGATGATGTGGTGAAAATTTTGGTAACATATATGTCCTCTGTATCATTTAAATTCATTTTATATTTCGAGAGTTCATTATTGTTATGACAATCTAAATCGAATTCCAATTAAATTATATTCCCTCGTGATTAATAAAAAATAAAAATTAGTCATTGAATGAAAAAGAGAAAAATTATTAAATGATGTTGTTTCCTAAATTAAAGACATGTTTATATATATATATATATATATTATATATATATATAATAATTTGTTAAAAGCATAACTCCGTATTTTTTTTCTTTTTAAAAACTAAAATATTCCAAAAAAATCAATAAATTTTTTTAAATAAATATAAATACATAAATATATACACATATATGTGTATGTTCAATAATTTTTACAAAGTTTAAATAATTTCAATTTTAAATGCTTTCAATGGTTTCTAAAGAGTTTCACATAATTATATTTTTTCGGATCTAAAAACAAATAAAAAATTACATACATCACATAAAAGTAAAAATCATATCTAAAATTTTAAAACTAAATTAAATCAATTACGATACGCGCAAACAGGAGCATGTATCGCTCTTGGGAAAAAAAAAATGCAATCTCTATATATAAAGAGATTGAAAAATAGGTACTATTCTAGATAGGGGTGTCAAAACGAGCCCGGCTCGCGAGCTGGCTCGTGGCTCGCTAGAAAACGAGCGATCTGAGCCGTAATTTTTTCAGCTCGTTAAAAAACGAGCCTAACGAGCCAGAGCTCATTGAACACGTGTTCAATGAGCCTGGCTCGGCGAGTTGGCGAGCTGCTCAACGAGCTGGTATTTTTTTTTAAATATATTAAATTTATATAAAAAAAACTCTAATATAATTTTATATTAATTTTTTTCATATTGTTTATATGATATTATAAATATACTAATTAGCCAAGAGAAGACATGAGAGAAACTCTGAGTATTTTGTATACCTAGATGCTCGTGGGCTGGCGGAATTATTTAATTATGAGAATTTATATTTTGATTTAGATAAGCGTAATTATCCAATTGAAAGAACTTGAAATGAATGTTTGAAATCTTTCATTTTCCCAGTGAAGTTGTACCAAAAATTCACTATTTTTTATTAGAAATTTATGCTTACCAATTTGTTCTATCGATATCTTATATAACAGGGAACATGTACGCCCTATTTACATAATTCCCAGTATATATATATATATATATATATATATCAATTTAAGAATATAAATTAATTACAAATTTAAATACTGTCCAAAAAGTATATATGTAAAAAACTGTTCGCGAGAAATTTTGAAATTAATTGAGATCCTTTACATAAATAAATTATAATCAAAAGAATTCAAAGGTTTAGACTTTTCTTTACAGTGAAATATGGACTTGTATTGTATGGTCGGTTCATGGAAATATATACTAAAACAATGGACGATAAATACATATAAAATAACAAATAAAAATTATAAAATATATTTTATTACTTGCAACTTGTTTGAAAATATAAGGAAAAAAAAAAACTAAGTGATCGTAGAAACAGAGAAGCAGGCGCACACACAAAACAGGGAGGGGAGGTCAAAGGGTCAACCTTCAAAGCTCTAGTGCTAATTAAGTTCTAACTCTAGCTTAATTAATTGATTACTACCGCATTAATCCTTAATTTAAAGAACTTTTCCTTTTATTTTTCATAAATAATTTTTCATCTAAATATTTTAATGTAATTTGCATGAAGAATTAACATGCATTTTTCTGTTATTAAGAATTATGTACTATCTTAGTATCTTGTTATACTTTTAATTTTTTTCTTTTTCACTTTTGAAAGAAATGTTTAAATTATATGTGTGGGCCGATACGTTATGGGACATATTTTCCGTATAAGTTTCTATATTTTAATAATATTTAATTCATATATCTGGTTAAAAAATTAACCTATTCATTTTTTTTAATATTGATGCCACTAAATAAAAAATTTAGATACATATTCTAATAACATACGAATATAGAAAGCTTAGCTTTTTACTGGCTACGGGAAATAAATAATATTTTGTGTAGATTCCTTATCTATTCTGTATATTTAAAATTAAAAAATGGATTAAAGAACGCGATAAATCCGATATTTATTACGGCTATGCCTTCTTCCCACACGTTCCAAAAAATTAAATTAAGAAAAAAAAAATACATTTGTGAAACCTATCATCCTCTTCTATAAAAACCCAAACTTCCCTATCTTTTCCCTGTATACACAATCGCAACCTTTCTCTCTCTACACATAACTCCAAATCAAAACCTCTCTCTCTCTCTCTCTAGAAACACCAAAGACATAGGGAAAAAAAGACCAAAGTCTCTGTCTTTCTCCTCAATCTCTTTGTGGGTCTCTCTGGTTTCAATCAATGGATGAAAAAGGTCGAAGCTTGAAGAAGAACAAGAACATGAGTGATCATAATAACGACGTCGAAGACGACATGGATCTCAGAAGAGGTCCATGGACCGTCGAAGAAGATTTCAAACTCATCAATTACATTGCTACTCACGGTGAAGGCCGATGGAATTCTCTCGCTAGTTGCGCCGGTAAATATATATACACCTGTATAAATTATATGTACGTTTTCTATATGTGTATTTTTGACAGAAAGAGCCAAATAACAAGTTGCAAAAGATATAATTCGATTGTTGCCTTTGTTCGACCCTTGTCATGTTTCACAATCTCCATGTGTGATCGTGTTTTTCTAGTTCCCACCTTTTCGCAATTTTGGTTGGAAAAAAAAAAGCGTTGTAAAAGTTGCGAAATATATTGGCTTTTAAAATTAACTTTTAAAAGGGTTTTAAATTTGTGAATTTTTGTTATTTTTTTTTTCCGAATATGCATAAATGAAAAGACCCTTCATGGGTTTTCATATGTTTCATTTTTTCTTCTCTATATTTCGAAGTTTTCTCACATCTAAACTTGATTGATTAAGTTTGTTATATTATAGGAATTAGGAGAATGGGTTCAATTATTGGTCTCCGACTTTTAAATAAATAAGATAAAATCGGATATTAAAAAATGGTGAAAAAATATTGCTAATTAATGATCATCATCTGTAAGGGAAGAGCACTAACTCAATGGAAGAAAGCTTGCGATAGAAAAAGACCCTTTTAGATAAATTTCCTAATAAGCGGTCCATATGCATTTCCAAAATTCGACAACTTTACCAGATATGAACCTGTGATTGTTTATTTATTTATTTAATTTTTATTTTATTTTAGGGGATTATATAGCAAATGTTTTACGCTATGTTTTTGCAATGAAACAGGGCTCAAACGCACCGGAAAAAGTTGCAGACTGCGGTGGTTAAATTATCTCCGGCCAGACGTCCGCCGTGGAAATATAACACTCGAAGAACAACTCCTCATCCTCGAACTCCATTCCCGTTGGGGCAATAGGTATATATTATATTAATGTTTCAAGTTATAACAAATTAGACCCACCATTTATATCATAATCTATGTTAAATATAGCCACCGATTACATTTGAAAACTAAGGTTAGTTTATATCGAAACTTTGCTAATATCCGGTTTTTTTATTTTAACGTATAGATGGTCCAAGATTGCGCAGTATTTACCGGGGAGAACGGATAACGAGATAAAAAACTATTGGAGAACCCGCGTTCAGAAACACGCGAAGCAGCTGAAATGCGACGTCAACAGCAAACAGTTCAAAGACACCATGCGATATTTGTGGATGCCTCGCCTCGTCGAGAGGATCCAAGCCGCCGCCCTATCCTCCACCGCCTCCGCCTCCGCCGCCGGAGAAGCGCCGTCGTGCATAACCCAATCAGCCGACCAGCTCGTCATGTCCGACAACGTTAACAACAAGAACATGGGCATGCAGTTTTGTGGCGTTTCGGATCATCATCATAACGCCGGTCACAATACGTCGGAAAGTTCCAGCGTGGCAGTGTCTCCGGCGTCGGACTTGTCGGAGTACTACAGTGTTCCGGATCCCAGCCTTAACCCTAACCCGGAAACATGGTATCCGGGTGGTGATATCGGCATGGGGATCAATAGCCACTATTCGGTCGGTCCAACGATGACGTTACCGGCGGGTAATTTCAATTACAATTACGATAATGGGTTATTAGACGAAGATTTTCAAGGAGCACAGGAGCAGCAGAGTAACATTTGGTTCGAAAACGGAGGTTCTTTGGACAGTCTGTGGAACATCAATGGCGATGAAGACTTCTGGTTCTTGAAGCAACATCATCTCAACAGTGGCAGCTTCTGATACGGCAAAGGAGGAAATAAAATCATATATATATATATATATATACACAAATGAATTATTAAAACTAAGTATATGTGTGAACGGAATTTGTTGCATAGGAACCCAAAAAGGAAAAGGAAAAAGCTTCTACTTGGAGAAGAGGGATATAGAAAAAAAGGGTCATGATATAGACAGAATATATTTATATATATATATAGCCTTTTTTTTACAATACATAAAATATGTTTATATTAGCAGTATAATCATGTCGTGTTATTTTGTGTTAATTTAATTGATTTTCTGTTCCTTTTGGGATTGGGATTGTATTGTTTATTCGTAAATCTTGAATAAATAAATTATTTAGGATTTCTTTAAAACGAACTTTGTCGTTTCTATGTGTTTTACGTGATTTCAATTAAGGAAGCATGCTTTTTTAAGGAAAATTAAATTAATTTAAATATTTGTCTTTTTTTTTCTAGGGGCCACAATCACATAATTGGTTCCACCATGTTTTAAATTTGTAACTGAAGATCCCACAAATACACGCGTATATTTGAAATTATAAAATCTCATATTATAATCGCTTAGGTATTATATAAAAAAAAAAAGGATAATCCAAGTCATGCTGCTTTAGGAACTATGTCCATGGGCCATGTATATTGGAAAAGCTTTTGGGACCATTTTATTCTCAGGCCACGTGTTCTCGTCTCATTGGTGGCTTTTGAGTTCCGAGTTTAAGTTGGCCGTTAGGGGGATTATTCTTGAAAAAAGTTGGGAAATGTAATGATAATTGTTGTTTTAATATATCATTAGTGATCATAATCCGCCACTAATGCGTGCAAATCCTTGATTAGTTTTCCTTTTTGCGACCCCATTATTGTACGGACGTTAACACCATTACCCAGACAGAACCGTGCCCTATATGCGACAACAAATCATCAAAAAAACCGTTGTCGGATCGGTGGTTTATGCGTTCTTTAATTTCGGTTATTTTTAGTAAAAATAAAATCAATCCTACGAATTGATTGTACACTTTTTATTATTTAAAAGGATATTTGGAAAGAAATAGTTTGCATATTTGATCTTTTATATTAAATCCAATTTTAAAATTTTATTTTAATATACTTTACAAATAGACCCCTTTTCTATACAGATTTCTAAGTTGTAGACTAAACATAAATTGACGATATGTTCGTGAGGTTTTATCCCTAGTAAATGGATCTTTTATTTTTTATTAATTAATTTATCGAATTTAAACTATCTATTTTTATGAAAAATAATATATATTATAAAAGCAACCCGTAACATGCGCGATGTAATTAATGTAAAAAATACACGTGGGAACAACATGAAGAGGGTGAGTGGCACGTGCGGTTGAAGAAAAAAACACGTGATTAAATAGTGAACCAAAAACAACAGGAAGAGGCAAGGGGGCGGCGGCTGCAAACGAAATGGCAAAATCCTGGAGGCGGTGTGGCGATATCCTCAGCCACCATAGTGGTCCCAAATATTTCATATATATTTTTTTATCTTATGATATTTCACAATCTAAACCAAATCATGTTTTCATACGAATGTTCCTGCACTAGTTAATATTTTCATATATATATATATATATATATGTAAGTGCACACAAAATGTTATTATTAAAAATAGATTATAAAAAAATGTTATTATTAAAAATAGAGATATTAATAATATTCGAAACTTTAAATTTTATGGTGGCAGTTGATTTAGTCACGTGTCGGTGTTGCAGTCCTTCGTTCTTATCTTCTACCGAATTTTATTATTAAAAATATTTAATAATCAATGTTTTTTGTATATTTGTTACACCCAAAAGACTATTTGTACATAACTTTTATTCGAAACATATACAACCAAACTCGTTACTATTTTCCTTTTTTTATTCGATATTTGTGCTAGTGTTAAAATTAAGTCATGTCTTATTTTCATCTGTCTGGCAAATTTTGAAATCTCCGATGTTTGAACTAATTTCATATAATTTAAAATTAGAAAATTTCAAAATATTATTTATTATATTTAAATTTTATTTATTTTAGTTGTTAGATATATTTATACATATATATATATACTAATAATCTTAGTGGTGTTTTCCACCCAAACATTATCTATACTACTATGCTTAATTATCCTAAGATCCGTGACAAATTCAAGATTTGCATCCAGAAAATAATAATAATAATAATAATAATAATAATAATAATAATAATAATAATAATAATAATTCAAACCTGTTATATTCTCTCACAACAGTTATTAATTAATTGGTGAAAACAAACATTTATTTAATTACCAATAACTGTTTTATAATACAATTACCCTTTATAAAAAAACATTTATTTAATTTTTTTAAATCCTGTTGAGATTAAATCATTAATCAGTGGGGGGGACAAAAATTGGAAAAAGATCGGAAACAAGGGACTTAATTGAGCGCCACGTGGCAAATTGCGATTCGAGCTGTCGGATCTTTTTCCATTGTTCGAAAGCCGACTAGCTAAGAAAGAAAGAACGATCCCGACTCAGTCAAGGTCAATGGCATCCAGAGGCTTCCACGTCAATGCTTACGTGGCACTCTTTGGCCCCCGCATTGTATTTTCTTTCAATGTTATAAGCCTTCCAAAATGCAATGTATTTGGACAATTTTAATCCAAAAAAATAATAATAATAAACTTGGGACAAAAATATTGCTTTAGAGATATAAATACTTAATATCAACTATCTATATGAAAATTATTTGCATATCTATTTTGATTGAACATTATCCAACTGAAACGTACACTTTTTTTTCTATATTTTAAAATTAAATTAAGACAATTATGAAATAGAATTAGAGTTTTACCACCAAACAACAATTAAAGCTTATATTTTTTTTTTAAAAATAAATTATGTTAAAAAATTACGAGTTTTTAATTGTAAAATATAAATACATTACATAGATAATGAAGTTGTTCTCTATTTAATTATTTCAAACATATTTGTTTTTTATTTTATTTTTAGACTACTCAATCTTGTTCCCATAATTATTAGGAAATCTATTTAATGGACGAAAATTACATATAACTACAAATCGCTATAGCACTAACCAAATAAAAAAGTATAATAAAGGGTAACGTGTAAAAGTTTAAATGAAAATAATTTAAAATTTTAAGCAACGTCATTAGAATGGATGGGGAACCAAAAACTCACAATTAATCACATCAATCTGTGCCCGAATTATAAAAATTGATATGAGCACTTTTGATTTTGAGTCTGCTTTTACTATGTTTAATTTATTTTCAATTTGGGTTTATTTTTTTATTTTTTAAATTTAGGTTTCCGTGGTACCTTTGGACATAAAAGAAAGTTTATGTTTTGCATCTCAAGTTGATGGATACCTGCCTCGTTTAACGTTGGCACTTGACGTCTACTGACTTTCTTTCGTTTGTTATGTCTTCATGTCTAATTAAAATTTTATATATTGAAGCGAAATTATAATATCAAGACAGAATTATAATAATATTTCCGTGAAAATATTATGTATTCAAATTTGATTCGAAATGGCATTATTTACCTTACATCTCTTATAATTTAAGTAATTCCTTATTTCTTTTTAATACAAGGGTTTGATTGGATTGGGATATTACTATTTTGATTTCAACACATACATTTTTTTTTAGTTATGACTCTGTAATCCATGTGATCAGAAATATAGTTTGATCATTTGTTGATTCCATTAGTTATAACGTATATTTTTTTATTTTATTATAATTTTTTTGGTGTCCAACTGAAAACTTTTCGTACACATATTTTGTAAAAATCCAATTTATAGTAAAAAAATAAAAATATTATTAGTTCGTACGACTTACATTCATATATAAATTATTATGCAAATGGCATCTTAAACCAAGCAATAGATTTTTTATCTATAGGGATTTTATGGAATCTATATTAAAACGGAATTGAATTAAGGTATTTCGAGTTATCAGGTTAGTTATTAATGATTGTAATAGGGACGGCTTAAAAATCAATCAACGTTTAATTTTTTTATAAAAAAATATGACAAAATAATATATAATCATCACATTGATTAAGAATTTAAACAAATCATATTTCCATTTATATTAAGAGGAAAAATCACAATTTGCAACAAGTGAAGATAAATAGCCCATGTGATATTTCCATATTAATAAATTGAACGTTATGCTTGATTAGGACAAGGTTGATGCTTAGCTAATCTGACAGAAAGTTCATGGAATTAACTTTGATTCGTCTCACGTGTTGGTTCACATTGGGCCGTCATGCGCTACTAACAATTATATGATCAATCTTTATGGGCTCTTAATTGGGCCGTACACTTCTAATCGGCGCTTGGATTTCACGCGCTGAGTTTCGTATAGCTAATGCCTAATATCATTATCCACACAAATTAAATAAAGTACTGATGGAATCGACGCCCGATATGAATTCCAAGAAGCTTTGAGAACATTCCGAGAGTAATGGGCGGAGGTCATAATCGTATATCTTCAGATCAAACAGTAAATTGGTCATAATTGCATAAAGAAATTCGAATCAAATAGGAAATATATCAATATGTAAAATATAGAGTTTATAGTAATTTCCTGTTTCTAGTTTAGAAATTATGCATGTAAATTATAGAGTGATTTAACTTCATTTGATGGGCCCTTAGTGGGCTTTCACTTTCAAACCCTGTTGTACTACTTCGATAGGGCTTGATGTTGTTGTCCGAAACCCGCCGACTCGAAAGTATCGGTCCCACGGGTACTCGTCCGTGGACGAGAATGATGTTGAGTTTATCGCCTCAAAAATCCGAGCTTCAAGTTCGGGATCGAGTTCTGTCCGGCGAGATGAACTCTCGACGGGGAAGATGAGATGGGCAGTTTGGTTGATGACCGAACCGAATAGACGAATCCAAGTGACCTGAATAAATCATAACTATAACCGAATCGAATCAAATTTAAACTGAACAATTATAGTTTTTTTTAAATTTGAACATCGAATCCAAAAATTTAAAAAAAAACTGAAAAAATCTATTTTTGTCAACAAAACCCAAATGTGAACCGAACCGAATCGAATCGAAATAATATCGAAATGATTGAAACGAATTTAATATAAAAAACGAATGGTTATAATTTTTCTATAAACCACATAACCAAACTCCAATATAATCAAATTGAATCTGAACTGAAATTCTTAATGGTCATCCATAAGTACAAGAGTGATTAAGATTTTTTTTAAACAAGTGTATTTTAGTGATTTTTATTTTTAAGGGTATTTTGGGTATAACAATTTTTAGATTTTTACATAAAAATCCTTTTTAGGGTTTTTGATTCCACTATAAAGAGGAACTTTCCACGGTGTAACTCGGAGGCAGCGAGACTAAATATCTTAAAAACGCGAGTCTCCACTCTGTGTCCACCCCTATTCTCCATCGTCATAGAGTTTCACAAAACTCAACGACAATGGTGTCACACCCTCTCTCGTCGGCGAAGAAGATCGTCACAATATTGGCGATGAAATTCCAGAGTTGGAATTTTCGGCGAAGATCCTCCCGAATTTTAATTTTAACGGTAAGGCTCTTACATCATCTAGAACGGAAAAGTATTGATTCATGTTTCTTCATCTATTTCAAATTCGACAAATAGATCTATGATTTTGGACCAAAAGAAAGTTTTTATTTTGAATTTTTTACTTTAATTTTGATTTTTTTTTTAATTTTTAGTTTTTAGTTGATTTTTTAAGCTAAATTAGTTTTTTGAAATTATTAGAAAAATCAAATTTATAAAAACTTAGACTGACTTTTTTTATTGGATCTGGTTTTGTTCAAGTGGGTTAGATAATTTATGTTTTACTTTTTTTCTATTATACGCTTTTATTTTATGGTAGTGGCTTTTATTTTGGATTTTTAACTTTAGTTTTTGGTTTTTGGCTTTTGGATTTTATAAGTTTGTAAATCTAAAAAATTGTAACTTTTGACTTTTAGTTGATTTTTTCCATAAAGTAGATTTCTGAGTTTTTAGGAAAACCAAAATTTAAAAAATTTGATTGTTGGTTTTTTCGGATTTTAAAATCCAAAAACTCCGAACACAACCTCCCATTCAACACTTTAAAAAGTTAAATATGTTTAGATTTATTTTTATATTGGATTCAATTTAAAAAAATATAGAAAATCTCATGAAAATTCATAAACTATGAAAAAAAATATAAAAGTACATAAATTTTTAATTTGATAAATAAATAAGTTGACGTGGTGTGATAAAAATAAATTAGTTTTTAAATTATAAATAGTTTTCTACACAAATTGATATATTGATTCGGTAATAGACTTTTAAGAGTTCAACTATTTTTTTTATATATTTTAACTTTTGATTTATTTATTTTGAAATTAATCGTATGTATTTTATTAGAAAATTTTATTTTTATGAGATTATTCCGTAAAAATATTCATTCTCTATTTTTTTATATATTCTCTATTTTCTTCAATCCCGAACTAATTTATTCTTCCATTGTGCTGACGGACTCCGTGCGTTACGGGGTTTATTCTATTATTTTTATAAAATTTATTTTATAAAATTATAAAAAAATATATTTATATAATTAAATTATTAGAAATTTATCATTATATTTTTATATAAAGAAGTAAAATAGTAAAAAAAAATATAATAGTTTTTTAAGATAATATTGATATGGCGATAATGTTAGATAATATAAAGAAATAATAATGATTTAGTGTTGAATTTTTTAATATCATGATTAATAGATAAATAATAATATATATAGATTTTTTATTTTTTATTTTTAAAATTTACATCTTTATATATATATATATATTTTTGGGTTTTCTTTTTTTATATATATATCATTATGCATTGTTTAATTTAGATCAATTAAAGATTTTATAGGAAATCTAAATGACCACTACTTTAGGCGTTGAATACGCTACGTTTTTATCAGTAAATAATAAGAGTGATAAAAAAAAACATCCGATTTTTATGTATTCTTATCGAAATAACTTTTTGATGTAAAATATTCGAATTTTATCGGTACTTGAAGGCACCTTTGCAAGCGCCATGAATCGTAAAAACGGCATGCGTTTGACATGTGCGAGAACACAACAACAGGATGTTCTAGCGTCTAACCGTGGAACGAGATGCTGTTTCATTGGCTAGTCCCAGTAGAAGAATGACAGTCGGGGGTTTTTTTTGGAGCTAAAAAGCCGTGAGGTCCACGCTAACATAAAACGCCACGTATTGTGATCAGCAGCAGGAAAAAACAACACGATGTTCTACCACATAACTTAGAAACGAGCTGATGTTTCAGGTTTGGTTTGTTTTATTCACTTTCGAGATATGGAAAAGTGGTAAATTATAAATAAGGAAGTTCGCAGCAGTAATCAGTCATTGAGCGCAAAAGGAAAACTAGGTCGCCCATTGATTCTCTCTGGTTTTCCATTGTCGTGATCAAGCACTCTCCTCCTAGCTTTCTCTGTCTTCTCTCTCTCTCTCTCTCCAACATTCTGAATCTCTGCTTGGTTCGGCACCATGAGAACTCGATTCGCGAACGGCGATCGAGTCGAGTTGGAGCGAGCCGTCGCCGGCTTGGCGGCGTACTTTCCGGCCACGGTGGTTCGGGGACAGTTGGGTAACAAACAGGCCATCTTGATAGAGTTCGAATTCGTCTGTGTCGGAGACTCCGTACATATGAGGGAGTACGTGGAGCCCACGCGCCTACGCCCTGCTCCGCCGCGCGAGCTCAACCGGTGGTTCAAGGCCGGCGAAGAGGTTGATGCCTTCAAAGACGGCGAAGGGTGTTGGATCAAAGGCAATGTGGAGGAAATTCGCGAGGGTTCGAGGTACTTGGTGGGTTTTGGCGGCAGTGATGGCGATCGTCGTGAAATCGAGATTGATCATTTTAACATGAGGCTTCATCGCGAGTGGGACGACAGCGCCTGGGTTCCACCTTTTTTTCAACTGGTAAATTTCGATTTCTTTACACTAATATCTAGGGTTTTTGAGAACTTCTTTTGTCGACGATTTCTCAAGCGTGACGAGTAAATTTTAGCGATATAGGTTTCTGATTGTTCCTAATTCGCACCTTTCAGTTGTGATTTGTGGAAAATCTTCAAACAAGTGCATTACACTTACACATACAGCAGATTAGGGGCTTTAAGACGGAAAGAGCGTTTCTTTATTGGTTTTGACGGCTATCTTTTTAGGGATATGGAGTTGGAGAATGCCAAGATTCGATGATCTACTTCTTAATTTCTTGCGTGACTACAAAAATTCTTCTTCCTTTCGCTCAGCTTATTCGAAATCACATTGGTGAAATTCAGCAAAATAGCCAGCGAAATCTGTAAAAGGACTTTAATTTCAGCAAAAGTACTTGGCCATAATATTGCTCACGCGACTCTGATATGCAGGAAAATGCGGTCAGGGCGGAGGTAAAGCCTAAAAGAATAAAACTGATAATAAAATTCAGTGGAGGAGAAGATGCCCAAGAATGCTACAAGAAGGGTGCAATAGTGGAGGTCAGAAGCGATGAAGATGGTTACAAGGATTCCTGGTATTCTGCACTCATATTCAACTGCTTAGGGAGTGAGAAGTACATTGTGGAATACTTAACGCTGAGAAGAGATGACGATCAGTCGGTCCCTCTGAGGGAAATAATGGAAGGCCAGTTCATCAGACCACGCCCTCCTCCTGTCTCGCCCATCGTCCGGTTTAAAACCGGGGACAAGGTCGACGCGTGGTACAACGAGGGCTGGTGGGTCGGCACCGTTTCTAGAGTGCTCAGCGGGTCGAAGTACATTGTTTATTTCAGCCCTACGAATGAAGAGCAAGTATGCCTCCACTCGAATTTGAGGTTGCATCAGGACTGGATCAATGGAGAATGGGTCATTCCTTCCAAGGTATGATCTTTCACTGAACTTCTGTTAATGAATTCCTTTGATGATCTATGAAGCTGAATGATCATGTTTTGTCCTTTCAGGTGCATAAAGATTCAAATATTGAGCTCAAATGCTGCAAACGTATACAGAAGAAGCCGGGATCTGGGGAGAAACCGAGATCTGGGGAGCATGCTGATAAACCAGATACCAAATTCTCAAAGGGAATGAAGGTAGAGGTGAGAAGCGACGAACAAGGTTACGAGGGCTCATGGTTTTCCGCAACGATCCTCACCTACTTGGATAAGGACAGATACACTGTCGAGTACCACACGCTCAAAACCGAGGATCAAACAGAGTTCTTGAGGGAGGAGGCGAAAACCTCGGATATAAGACCTTTGCCACCCGCTATCCAGCGCGTGTATCAGTACGAACCCTTAGAATTTGTCGACGCCTGGTTCAACGAGGGATGGTGGACCGGTCAAATCTTGAAGGCATGCAGCGGGATGAAGTACATTGTCTACTTCACGACCAGCAACGAGGAGCTGGAATTCGGACATGTCGATCTAAGGCCTCATCAAGAATGGATAAACGAGGAATGGGTTGCTGCTTCAGAGGTACTAATATTAACTCTTTTCCTATGGTTCTAAAGTGTGTGTGTGTGTATATATATAGGCGATAATCTGTCTGACCCTTGAATGATTTGGTTGTTGCAGGATTGCTCGTGCAGATGGCTGCTCGGAGACATGGGAAACTGATTCTTGATTCTATGCTAAGTTAGGTATCTAGATGTAGAATTCCATTAGGAAAAAGGGCTTGTCCCTTGAGGGAATACATAGTTTATAGGACTTAGAAAAATATATTGATTTAGCCCCAAATGGGAATAATACCTGTATGGGTGCCGTTGCTGAAATCATAATTCTTATATAATTTTTATTTTACATTCAAGAAAATAGTTTCACATGTTAATTTGAATGCCTTGTTGTCTGATCTTGGCTTTCCTTCAATGGCGGAATCAGTTTCAGTAAACATAACCATAATTACATGGAAACAGAAGACTGTATTCAGACACATGTATACATCTGATCAGTTTTGGATAATCTCAAAACAAACCCATCAATCATCTTGTTAATTTTGAATGAAAAAATCATTAACTATATAAATTGTTAAAAGATACTAATATTTTATTTTGAATTTGTTATAAAAAAAAGACCATCAACTATTAGTAATTATAAAGCAAAAACAAAAATTATTCTGCCTTAAAATTTGCAAGACATTAATGTTGGGCGCAACTGTAAGTTTCTGAAACTAGTGGGTCAAAATTTAAATTCCATGGAAGAGGTGAACCTTTTTGTTTAGTCAACTATGGAATTGTCAAATGTCTGACCATGCTTAAATTATGTGATGTATTTGCTTTTAGTTATGAATATATGATCATAATCACTACAGAAGGAAAAACATTTTAAACATTTTTTTTGTGAAAGATAATAATAAATTTCAAGTATGATATCTTTTTTTTTGGTAATAAAAATAAACTTTAATTTTTTTAGAAATTATGTTTTACCATCCAATGTTGAAATCCAGTGATTATTATTATTTTATGAAACAAAACATATTATTATATTATATATACTAATAATTTGACTAAAATACAAAATTGCTTGCAAGAAAATAGAATAAGCAGCTGATGGCGTTTGCAAAACGCGATTATTTGCGTTTGGGGAAACCAAACACTGTCCTAACAGAATCGTATACTTTGAGGCCTCAGGATATGAGGTGAAGGGACCGGTCCCCATTCTCTTCACAACAACACACTGCCTCCTCGTGTGTATTTACTTCCCAAATACAAAATGGATTTAAAAAAAATACAAAAATTGATCAAATCCCCAATTGGTTCATCGGTTAAACGCTGGAATTTGATTCTCTAGGGCATCGTTCCGGCTCTTTTTTTTCCCGGAGCTTTTTTATCGACTCTTGTTCATGGATTCGCCCCTTTCCCAAGCTGTTGCTCTTTTCGCCTCGGAGTTTTGAGGTACCCATCTGGGTTTTCTTTTTACCTTCGCTTCTTTTTCCAATTTTCTCTTGGATTTTTGTTTTCTGGGTTATTGCGATTGTCATGGTTCTTCCACAAATTCGAGATTTTTTTTCTGGGTTTTGATTCCCTTTGTGGCTTTTTCTTGTTGATTTTAGGGTAGTTTTGCTCAAGTTCCCTTCAATCCAGCGTACAGTGCTCGTCGTCGAGTTAATTCTTGCGTTTTATCTAAATTACTTTGAAGATTGTTTAGTTGCTCCTGAGAATGGTTCGTTGGTTGTCTCAAAGTATGATTAATTTTCTTGTAAATTCGAGAATCGTGTTTGGTTAAGGAATATAGGTCTCGTGTTCTTCTGCAGTCCTGCTCGTGTTATTACTGCCTCTGATGATCTTTCCGGGCATTTGCCATGTCTGATTCTTAGTTATGTCCTTGGCATTTGAGTGATGAATCGTTATGAAACGCAAAGTTCCTGCTCTCATGCATAAATTGATGACCTTGATGTGAGGGCTTGCTTGTGTTTAAAGATTTGATCGAAGTTGTACATGTTCCCACGCCTTAAAGCTTTCTGAATGTGCATGTTTGGTGTCGTTCCACGATTTGCTCGAGTTCCACTTTACTCGTTTCTGCTCTTGATTATAGATATTCATCGATATCATGAATCTTGTAATTCGATTTGATCGGGTTTCATTGACGCAGTGGTAGGTAATGTTCTCTCAGAACAAAGATATCTTTGTTTGAGACAAGCAAAAAAGCTTCACCTGATTGCTAGAAGTTGATTGGTTTAGCTTCTCCCGGAGAACGATATTCTATAAAGCTAATCATGGCTCGGAAAGGGAATCATCAGAAGAACGGAGTGGATCGCCAGACAAAGCAAAGAAAGAAGAATTCTGAAGTTCTGTCTTCCAAAGGGCAAGGGAAAACAAGTGAGTCTAAAAGTATCCGTAAAGAGCAGTTGCCAGACGATAAACAGCCCGATACTCCGGCCTGTGATTCCTTGGAGAGAGACATAGAGGAAACAAACGACGACGTGTCTGTTAGGACAGAAAAGAATGTAGTAGATGAACCCGTCTCTTCGGAAAACGATTTGGCTGGAGATATACCTCATAGTGAAGCTAATTTTACTACCGAAGAAAGTGGAATTCCAGTTGGTGGCAACTATGGTCTTGGACACTTGAAAGAAGTTATGAGAACATTGCTCGATATACTGCGTACAAACAGCCCGTTAGAGAATCTCGAGTTAGCATACAATGCAGTGGCAAGGAACTTGAGGATATGCACTGCAATCATATCGAGGGAAGTGACTCGGTGGATGGAGAGACAGAGGCCCGTGATAGATTCTCTTAAATCTAACGTATTCAGAGCTCGTGATCATGTTAGAACAAAGGTTCAGAAGGTGTGTCCGGTTATATTCAGATGGCTTATGCACTTTGGGAGCATAATTCTTTTTCTGTCTCTGGTTTGGTTGGACTGTGCAATCCGAGGTTTTGATTCCTTCCTCCGCTTGGGGACGACATCCTTTTTCTCGATTGTCTGGTGTGGTATTCTTTCAGTGTTTGCCATGGTTGGTGTTACCAAATTTCTCGTGATCTTGGTAAGAATCTCACAGCATTATCTATCTCAAACTGGTTTGCTCTTTCCATTACCTCCCTATACTAAGCTGTTCGCTTATATTCATTCATCCCTTTTGTGCATTCTGTGAATCTTCACAGGTTGTCACTGTTATAATGCTCGTTTTTCTCGGATTTGTTGTTGGGTTGATTTCACTTGCGGTTTTCGGGTTGGTTTTGCTGTGGCTGTATGGTAGTTTTTGGACAACGCTACTATTCATCATCTTTGGAGGTATAATGCCATTACTGGTTTGTTCTCATACCAAAACCTTTGATATATAATGTTTGTTTTCTCTGACACGGTATCATCAATGTCATCGATATGTAGGATTGGCATTCATATTCGGGCGTGAACGCATTGCTCTGTTCATCATTGCAACATATTCAGTCTACAGTGCATGGGGTTATGTTGGATGGCTTGGCCTTCTTTTGGCTTTTAATCTCGCTTTCATCTCAACCGATGCTCTGATATATTTCCTTAAGAACAACTTAAACCAGCAGAGTACAGGTTATGGACCTAATGAGCCTGTCAACGGTTCATCCTTTGAAAATGGCCCAGGATTTCCCGGGGATCGTGGGCCAGGAGCCGCCTCAACTAGTGGAACCGATGCTGAGGTAACATCTGAAGACGAAGTTGCCCGGTTGCTGAATTGTACCGATCACTACTCGGCCTTGGGATTATCGCGTTTTGAGAACATTGACGTGGCTTATCTCAAGCGAGAGTACAGGAAAAAGGTTTGTGTTTTTTTTTTCATATCTCTAGACCGAATCATCTACCTTCTTGATGTTCATCGAAAAGGCCTTATGGGCGTTTAGTTTTCGAACAGGGACTGTCAAATTGATAAGCTTTTATGAACTATTTTACTAGGCGATGCTGGTCCATCCCGATAAGAACATGGGAAACGAGAAAGCCGCAGAATCTTTTAAGAAGCTTCAGAACGCTTACGAGGTATTACTCGATTCTGTAAAGCGTAAATCATACGATGAAGAATTGAGGAGGGAAGAGCTACTGAATTATTTCCGCAGGTTTCAGAACGTTTCTCAAAAGGTTAGTCTACTTTTCTTCTGGCTGTTTTGTTCATGAGTTTCTCGAAAATTCAGCTGTTTGCCTGAAGGAATTTCTTTAAGATGCTAAGTTCGATTGATCGTCCGGAATCAGGAGAGTCGGGGGCACGGATCCTTTGGCTCGGGATTTGCACGCTCAGAAGGCGAAGGAGAAGAAGCCTTTATAGATTCGAGACAGATAGCCTGTAAAAAGTGTGGCGGTTTCCATGCCTGGTTCCTTACCAAGAAATCGAAATCTCGGGCAAGATGGTGTCAGGTCTCTTTTAAATTTAAACTTGCTTGCCTTTTGGGAGAACCACAAAGCAATGACTCCTACAAAACCTGAGCTTATTCTTCGTCCTCTGGTTTTGTATGTTGAAGGATTGCAAAGAGTTTCACCTAGCGAAAGACGGAGATGGTTGGATTGAACAATCTTCGCAACCCGTCTTCTTCGGGTTGCTTCAGAAGGTAATTATACCTCTTTTCGTGCTATTTCTTTCCGCAAAAAGATCTTGTAGGCGTAAAAGAACCGAGGAGAAATATCGAGGAAATGAAAAAGATTCTGAATTGATTGATGCCCATGTCCATGGCTATGGCAGTTTCAAAGGATATCATATCATTACTCTACTTTCTTACACAAAGCTCTGCTTTTTGACACAACAGATCGATACAACTCGTGCTTACGTTTGCGCCGACAGCAAAATATATGACGCTTCTCAGTGGTATATCTGTCAGGTAAAAGAAAGAAAGAAACGAAAAACCGTCTTTTTTACCCATTTCACGGAACTCACCAGTGAGATCGGTGGAAAAACATTCCGACCCTTTGTGTTTTTTTGGCTGAATTCTTGAAGGGAATGAGATGTCCGGCGAACACTCACAAGCCGAGCTTCCATGTGAACACGAGTGTGACCTCAAAGCATCATTCCGGCGGCCGGGGAGGAAGTTCTTCAGGGCCGAGGCGTATGCCGAATGCCAACGTGGACGAGACGATGACCGAGGAAGAGTTCTACGAGTGGTTGCAGAACGCAGTTCAATCCGGTGTGTTTGATAATTTCAGCGATAGCCCGTCTTCGAGAACCGGCACTGGAAGTAGCAGTAGTACTGGTAATAACGGCAGCAAGAGGAAGAAAAAGGGCAAGAGACAATGGTGAAAAAGGACGTAGCTCTTGATGTAAGAGAAGCCGCCATTAGAGATCTGAAAGTGCAGAGGGTTTTTTTGTATAGAGCCGCCATTAGAGATCTCTTCTCTTCTTCTTCTGTGTCCTAAGTTTTCCATTGAAAAAACCAAAAAGCTGCGACCTTTTTGTGGTTTTCTCCTATGTATTAAGCCTCACCCTTCATGGTTGGCCTTAGGATTCACCTTTCTCTGAATAAGAAAAAAACCCAGTTGAAGCTTTCGTTCATGCAACATATATATATATATAGTAAATTTATTACGTATTTTTTAAGTGGATATACATTTTTTTTATCTTATATGTCAAATTAACAAAGATTACCAATTAAATATACTTAAAAACTAATAGCGTTATTTATTTCATATATTATACATCGGTTGTATTTGTAACATATTTCTCATTCTTTTGCATACTTAAAGTAAAAACTATGCATCGATATAATTAAGTCTTAAGTGTATCGTTTATCTACATATTAACATGTTTTTCTTTGCCCACGCCGTATATTAATATTTATATTCTATCCTTTTCAGTGTCAAATTCATTATTATATATTTTGTTAGTTGATTATAGTGGATGTTATTGAAGTTGGGATGATCCCTTTCCCATTTCATACGTTTTAGTTTGTATAGAATTTAGATATTATTATATTTTATACGTGTTTGGATCTATCTATTTCTAATAACATTAAGATAGGAATTAAGAATTATAGGGTCGGAAAGATTGTAAATGCAATTTATAATTTTTCTTACCTAGCGTTATACAATTTGCATGTTGGCCATGGTAAATCGCATTCCATCTAAATTTAACCGCGTATATATATATAGGGAAAAGCCATGGGTGTGCTTCTAGGGTTTACAGCAATATATTATCCCGGGGAAACCCTAATCGTAAAAAAGTCTATCCAAAATTTTAAAACCATGATGACCAAGAAAAAGAACACATCATCATGCGAAGCAATATATATATATATATATATATATATGCATACGAGGGGAGTATCCATATATAAATATGATTCCATAACTCTCTGCATGCAAAAAAACTAATCATGACGGCGATCCCAACAATCTTTAAAGAACCATGCATACGTCGATTAACTTAACAAAAATATTTAAATATGTTACATATAATACAAATCTCCCAAAATAGTCCGCCGGTTCAACAATTGAAGGTAAATGATAAAAGAAAAACTATAAAGTTAATGAAAGAAACTCCTACGAAAAGAGATTCAAAAGGTTCAAAATATAAATTAATTAGGCCCGTGAAAAAAAAAACAAGGGTTTGAGGAGCATATATATATATATACGTACCACCATATAAAAGAACATTTTTCATGATTTCTTCTCCTCTTCTTTCCTTTGGTTACTATCCGATCTGATATGAGACGGAATGATATCTTGAAGCAATCCATGATCTCTTAACGAAGAAGAAGAAGAAGCTTTCTCTTCTCCTAAATTGAACACGGAGCCCGTATTTACGAAAACGCCACTGTGATGATCAGCAGAGCTTCTGCTACTGTACATGTACGGCTGCAGCATAAGCTGCTGCGCTTGCTGCTGAGTCAGCAAGCACCGAGGCTGTGGAGCCGCAAAGGATGACGTGGCGGTGATGTCGGAAGGTGACATCAGGATGCCGATGTGTCCACGTGGCGTGATGGGGAAAGGGTGGGTGTGTTGGCCTTCGTAGGTCGTCATGACGATGGAAGGATCGTCGGAAGATCTCTCTACCCTCTTCTTCACGCCGCAACCCGCTGTCGTGCAACGGTAATAGCTCCTATATTATTATATACATACACAAATTCGATATGAGTATATACATATATCGCGTATATGTATTCATAAATCGACAAAAAGTTTAGTTTCAAGAATGTTTTGAACCCGTTTGAGAATACGTTTTGTATGCTTGCATCAGATATATAAGTTATTATATTTAACATGTTAATTAAGTTTCCGACACAAAATAAGAACATTTATATATATATATATATATTCGTTTTGAAAATGGAGTCACAATCTATTTGATTAGTCGTTTGAGAGGAAATCTCGAGATCTTCCGACACAAGCAACAGAATTCCAGGAAGAAAACAGAAATCTTAGGAAAATAAAATAAAAAATATTCTAACGTTGGACCCTACGTACGTGCAGACGCGTTTTGTGTGTACATATGGAAAATCTATGACATGTCTGTGTATATATACATGTATGTAAAGGTTATCTCTAAGCATGCAGAATAGCTAGGGTTATACACACACAGACAAATTTATACATGAGCATGATACGCAAATGCAATTCAATATATATATATGCAGAGTTATCGAAAGAATTTTGAATAATTAACACAATATACATATATATACACACAGTATATATAGCTGGATATGTGTGTGTATAGATATATATACCTGGGATAAGGGCTGTTTTTCACGGCCTTTTGTCCGTACTTTCTCCACCGGTAACCGTCATCGAGGTTATCAATGTCACTCTTCGTTAGGAACGCAAACCTCGGTTCCCTCGGTTTCTTCTGGTTGTTCTTCTTCGCCTTTAACCTACACAAACCCAGCCCCAAAATCATTATATACATATATATACTGCAATTAATGAACCGTATAAAAATTAAGACTTTCATACACCATCAAGAAACAAGATTGAGGGTTTTAAATTAATCCACTCACTGTTGCTTAGTCCCTTTCCGTTCCTGTTGATCTTGTTCCTCCTGATCTGTAACGCTACCACTAGCTTTCACAGTGTTGTTCTCATTTCCGGCTTCGTTCGACGACGACGAAACTGAGGATGTGTTAGGCGACGCCGGAGCGGTAGTGTTCAGAACCTCCGACGACTCCACCGCCGCAGTCGCCGTCGTGGAACCAGGAGAAGCCGCCGCCGCCGTTGCCGGGACCTGAGATGGTTGAGGCTGATGATACGAGGGCAAATCCGTAAAAAAAGGGTTGTTGTGGAGAGGGAAAGAATCGAATAAAGAAGAAGAGGAGGAGGAGGAAGGAGTAAAGTGGTGGTGATCTTGTCGAAGCAAATCCATAAAGGAATTAGAATTGCTAGAAGCGTGGACGACGAAGTCGTCGGAACACGAATACGAATACGATGCCGTATCGAAGAAGATGCTCGACAAGCCCATGCTAGCTGCTAATTCTTGATCCGACGAAGAGTACAACAGATTCGCCATGCTCGAGATCGCGGGTTGCGCTGTCTGAATCTGACCGTGGCAATGTTCGATCTTCGCCGCTGTGTTCTTGTTACTGGTCTCCCGATGAAGCCGAACCTGAAGAAGATGATGATCGTGTTCTCTCTTCTTCTCCATGTAAGAAAAAAAAAGATTGAATCTTTGAGGTCCTTTATAGATGTATCATCTCAAAACTCGCAAAATAGATGTCATTGATGTTTTTTGAGATTATAAGCATGAGAGAAGACAGAGACTGTGGTCTGAGTCTCTCTCTCTCTCTCTCTACCGATGCTTCTCTCTCTAGTTTTTTTTTTTTTTTTTTTTTTTTAGATGTGAATATAACTTTTATGGGGTTTTTGGGTTCTTACTGGGAAACAGCTTGGATTTGGGAGGTTTCCCATTTGATTTTTTTTAGATATATCTTTTTAAAATTATTTATCTTATCTTACGCGTCTAAGGCCCCTATGTAAAATTTTGATTTAGATTCGGCTCGATTATTTTATTATTATTTTGTATTCGTTTTAGTTTTGTGTTCAGATTCAATTTTTGCTAATAAAAATATTTGTTTAAAAATTAGATTCGATTTTTTTTGGTTTGAGAACATTTTTGTCGTTCATATTTTATATCGGCAAATGTAATTTTATGTTATTCTGGTTTTAAAAAAAAAATCGGTTTTGGTTGAATAAACGGAAATGGTCATGGAAAAAATGAGAGAGAAAGAAGGAGAGACCGGGACCGGCAAATACCGGTAAAGAGAGCGGTACGGACGGGTGAGGGTCGACGGGGACGGTGCCGTCCCCTGCCGAGACATTAAATGATTGAGTCCCTTTGCCTTCGTCTCGTCCCCTAACTTTCCACCCAACGGTATATTGCTTTTTCCATTTCTTCTAATTTACATTTTTATTTTAAAAATATAAATTATGGACATTTCGGTTTACATTTATGTTTTCTATTTAGTTTGAATCATCTATTCAGCAATTATATTTTTAATAGAATTTTAAATTTTAATATAAAAATTATAGATTGTTTTATATATTTAAAATCATAGATTATATTTTTTTGTGAAATAAATAATTATATAACAATAAAATTTATATATTTTTGTCACATACAAAATCTTTTCTAATTTCTTTATTATTTTAAGAAATTATTGATCTTTCATGTCGTGAAAACATTCCTCCATTTGTTCAATTACAAAATATTTTTTGCTACAAGATTAATGTACAAATTAAAAATAAAAATAAAAACAATACAATAGAAATTTTAGTATGTAATTCATATATTTACTTAATTCTTTTACCCACTGTATATTTGCATGCTAAAAGAGAAAACTTATTCAAGCTTCTCAACAATATCATCTTTATAATTTTATTTTCTATTGTACTCATTTGTTTTGGAAACATTCCCAATATATCATGTAAAATTTTCTAATTAAATTCACACTGTTTTTTTCATATCTAAATGTTTTAATATTGCATCATTAAGTCCTTATATATAGTGTATCATAGATTTTTTTTTTTATAAAAAATACCCTGACTAAATTTATAAAGAATATTAAATCATATATATATATAACGGATTCATATTGTATTAATTAAATCATAGCTTTTATATAAAAAAATGTAAGCGTTAACTGTTTTATAACAATGAATCCATGATTAAGAAACTTCACCAAAAATCTTATCGCGTACGCACTCAATTTTCACAAAACATGGAGCGGAAATTCATTTTAATTGACCATTTTTTTTTATTACCATATGTATACATATATATACACACACATTATGTTTGCGTAGCCCATGTATAAATATTATACATACATACATACATACATACATATATGTATATGTATAAATATTATAAACATACATACATACATATATGTATATATCTGCGGAGAAGAACCGGTTTAGCCGGTAGTCTATGGATACGATACGAGGAGGGGCGCGTGAGGGAAGACACGTGGGAAGCTAAAAGTTGTGGGTCTGCCGCATGTGATTACTGCTACCATTTTTTTAATAATTAATTTTATTTTTCTCAATCCTATTCGCGGCTTTTCCTGATTTAACTTTTAACGGCAACTTGCCTTTTTGCATTATATATATATATATATTCGAATAAAATATCAATTATTAACGAAAAGATAATAATATTTGAGTCTGACACATAAATTTACATTTCGCCTAATTATGGTTTGACTTGAACGTCTTTTCATATTACAGTTTTACAGTAACGTTTGGTTCTTCCTGGCCAATAATTAATTACGTGCCAAAAAACCCATCGTTTAATTAAATTATTTGTGGACCGCTTGTAATGATGATTATAATATCATGCTAATCTCTATGGTTACAATTTCACATCATATTTTATATTTACTGTATCTTGTGTCATTGTCGATAATATCACGCGTTTTGTACCATAAATATTATATATATATTTTTTAAAATTATATACACTTGCATGAAACACTATTTTAGCCGTTGTTATCGAGCTCAAGTTTGAATACGCGTTTTAAAACAAAAATAGAAGGAATAGAGATAGACTGTGACATTGTTATTATTATTTTTTTTAAATTTATTGTAATTCAAGTGAAATTAACAATTACATTAATTTTATTTATAAATTCATGTCTGTAATTTTAAAAATCCGATTATTTTATTAAAAATACGTATTTCCCATGAAGAATGAAAAAAAAAAAGGTTACGGGAAATCCAATGAAAAACAGGGTGAACACTGACTTTCACGAAATGGACAGCAGATTAAAGAAATAATTAATAAGCTGGATAATTTTTTTGGTAAAAAGAGGGAATAAATAATTGAAGAGTGAAAAATCGTAAAACGCGTCAAGGAGAAGCTTCTAAAAATAAGCTGACTCAAAGCATACGTCAGCAATGAGTTTCCTGCTTTTCCGACAAGTCATCCTTCTTCAACAACTTCGCTATTTATTGCATCACTGTCGCTATATATATATATATATATATATTAGGATGAATATTTCGCGTTTCTTTGATTAATTCATTTTTTAGATTTTTTAAAAATTTGAAAATTTATATCTATTCTATTTTTATATCAAATTTCAATTTTTATATATTATTTAGGTTCAATGGTGTTTCTGTTACAAATTATTTAAATTTGTTAAAATAATCATATATCAAGTTGGTTTTAAATAGTTTTAAAATCGGATGCCACTAAATCTCATTCATTAATTGTGAGTTGATTCTGTATGTCAAATCAAAATGTTCATCTATAAGTAAGAATCTTACATCAAGTCGAAGGCAATTTTAATTCTGCGCAAGGTGTAAGCTATGATCTAACTATCAATGTTTGAACTCTTAAAGAAAATAGCGTAAAAGCTTCGTGGATTTTATTTTATTTTATTAGCTTTTCAATAAAATATATGTTCTATACATATCAAAGCATATCAAATTTAAATTTATTTTTGAGAACCCATATTAGCATTTTCCTTCATTCTCGATAGCATAAGAAGCACATTGCATAATCGTGCTCATAATTAGTATGACGATTCATTCATCCTTAAATATGCTAATTATTAATATTATGTTATTTTAAATAGAAAAAATCCCAAAAAATATCTATTTTTTTCAATCTTTCACAAAACAAAATATAAACTTTATTTTTATCAAATAAAACCCTAATTTTATTTTTCAATAGAAAATAAATCTGAATTTATAATTGTTATCATTTTTATATCTAAATATTACCAATATCGTATGTGATAAGCCAACACTTTTACCATATTTGACATGTCATAATTCATATGTCACGTTATCGATACGTCACGTTAGTGATGAGTTTAAAAATGATAACTGTTATAAAATTGAGATTTTATTCGACAAAAAAAAAGTTTAGATTTTATTTTGTAAAAATTGATAAATTTGGATATTTTATTGAATATTTCCTTTTAAATAATATAATGAAATGATATTTATAATAGAATTGTAATATAAAATTTTGATTAAAGAGGGGAAAATATCTTTTAAATCTTATTGGAGTTGTGAAATTAATTTAGTAGGAAGTCTATTACCTATTGGGTGATCTTCTGACATTTTTATTTATTTAATTTTTTATCCTAATTGTTAAGATAATTAGATAATTAGTGACTAATAGTAATATTACCTCGGAAGTAAATAGTAATATTATCCCCAACATGAGATCATAACAAATACAAATAGCCCTAGAAATCAATGTTACAAAATCATGAAGTTATGATGATAATTGTTACAAAATTATTTGGGAAAAATACTGTTTGGACGCTTCTATTTTTATATATTCCAAACAACTATTTAAAAAAAAATCTCGCTTTAAATCATCAAATAATTTTTTAAATTTCCAATTATTTTAAAATCTAAATGTTTGTGTTTTTGTCTCTTAAAAAAAAATTCCACAGCCGATACTCTTTTTTTTTTTTTTTTTTGGGATTTGGTGGTATCTTTATGTGCTTTAAAGGCACAAAATAAAAAGTTGGTTTTTATTGGGTATTATTGCATGCTTTTTCTCCGGACAAAAGCCTTTGTGGAGATACACGAAGCGGGATACTGTTACTGTCAATCCAAGAGCCATTAGCATGACACGTGTCAGATCTGACAGCTGATATTTCTCGTAGGGATAAGGCTGTCAAAGCACGTGTGCTTTTACGCGGTTTTATTGGGGTTTTCCCTTCACCATGTCGGTTGCTTCTTACACAAGCGATTCTTCTTCTCTCTTTTTTCCCCCTAAAAAATTACTAAACTGTTACATTTATATTTGATAATAGGAATTCTTTTATATACTACATAATTAGATTATTCTATTTTGATTTTTTCATATTTGTATTTGGACAAATCATCCATGTACATATATACATATATATATATATATATATGTATATATATATATGTGTCATCGACCAGTTCTAGGTTTAACCGTTTAAACAGCCGCAAACAAAAAGGATGTATGTCCATACTGTTGTAACTTCGATCTTTGGTGTTGAATGAGAGGTGGTTTTCGGAGTTTTTGGATTTCAAAAAGTGAAAAAACCGACAATTAATTTTTTTGAAATTTGGTTTTCTTAAAAACCCGGAAATCTACTTTATGAAAAAAAATCAATTAAAAACTAAAAGCCACTTTTTTTAGATTTATAAACTTTCAGAATCCAAAAAACCAAAAACCAAAAACCCAAAATAAAAACCAATACCATTCAAAGCCTTTATTTTTTTTAACAAAAAAAACTTCGATCTTTATTTAAATATATCCTTTCGGTAATTTCCAAATTTCAAGTTTCAATTTGCAAATAAAAATACCGTAACCACGACAATGTCTCGGATCTAATGTATTCGATACACACACATATATATATGTACACATATATATATATATATATGTGTGTGTGTGTGTGTGTGAGAGTGTGAGCGCACAATAAGATCAGAAGTGAATTTGTAAGAATCGATCATGGTAGACATATATTTGTTGGTCAATAAAGAAAGCGTGTATATATATATCCATATTGGCTAAATAAATAACTGCGTATTCATGTCGACATATAATTTTGCATATTAATGTATACAGACACACACATAGATGAGGTCAGAGATCGGTCAAGCTTGTGTGCGTATATATATATATATATATATATATATATATATATATTGGTATAAATGTGATTTGTTATATTAATATCCGAAGAGTTACATTTACAAAAAGATTTACCAAACATGTTGTACGGGCCAAAAACCACAAAAGTCTTCTCTAGCTAACGCGATACCATAATTATTTTGTGTGCAATGATATTAGATTACAAACAAATAGACGAATATGAATTTATAATATTGGGCATACATGGGATGGATATGAAAGCTAAGCAGTGGTCAAAAGTCAAAGCTATTGACCACCATTTTGTTCAACATACGATTTTATTGGAATATATATATATATATATATATGTATATATATGTATATGAAGTTAGTAACAAATTTTTAGTTTTGTATAAATTGATTTAAATAATTAAGACTAATGTTATAGATTCGTCCGTATGTAGATAGAAGCACGTGCATCTAAGCTCATGTATAAATTTTGGTCATGCACAAGTTAATTACTTATAAGAAATTAAAGTGCTTTCTCCTCTCATTTTCATATCCGATTAGTTCATCTTACATCCTTTACACACTTTCACTTCTACTTATGGAATTTCAAATCTTTTGCAAGAAAATCTTTAATTTCTATATTTTAAAAAAGATAGTAATTCTTTTATTTAAATGATTAAAATCACAATGAGTGCTGTTACCATTGACATTTCTATAACTTCTGAACAATGATAATAATAACCTAAAATCCATATCTCAGTTTTCATTCTTCAATATGCAATTTGGTGTATCGCATGGTATGGCTATAAAAAAGTGATATTACAAAAAAAAAAATCAAAATGATTTCAGTTAAAATAATGTTACTGATTTACATGATGTAAAAAAGGTCTGATATTATATTTTAAAATTTCCACGTTGAAATAAAATTGAAATATTAAATTATATGATTAGTATGATAAAAAAATTATTATATTTCTTTTGTAAAGTGTATTATAGGTATTTTATTCAAAAGATCTCAATATTCAAGTTGCGGTCTAATAAACTTTGATTTGAATTTGGGATCACTATCATTTAGCATATGTATTTATATGTGTATATTTAAGATGGTTTTGCGCCAAAATAAATAAAAAAGAAAATAAGATTAATTAATTACTTAGCATTAAATATTAGAAGGAAGAATATTGAGGGCATGACCCAAAACTAACATGTTGACTTGAAATGATGTTTTTATCGAATGAAAACATCCACCGTTGATTGTGGCCTCACTGCTTTTTAAATAAACTACATCAAGTACTTTTATTTAAATCTGCATGTAAAAATATATCTAAAAATTAGTATTAAAACACCAATAATACGATCAAAATATGTAGAACATTAGTTTAATTGCAATAATTCTGTAAAAATAAAGAACGGGGTCATTTTTTATTATTAGAATTAATATTGAGAAAAATCATGAATATTAATTTAGTACACCGTAACATACACATATATATACATATATAATGAAATGCGGATGGTTGTCGTTGAGGGAAGAAAAAGTCAAAGTCAACGAGGGCATGATTAATAAATGTGTAACGCTAAACCCTAAAACGCGTTGTTTTTGACAAATACGGACAAACCAACTTTTAACTCCACGAGGGGGACACCTGCGAAAGAGAACCCCCTCGTTTGCCGTGCACGTCTCTCTTCTTACTTTATTTCATTTCAATATTTTATGTATTATCATCCTTACATATACATGTGTATACATATATGCATGTATATGTATGCGCGTATGTATATATGTACATGCATACTCGAGTTATCGTGACGTATATGATATCTGTCTGTGTCTATAGACCATGTCTAACTAATCATGGAAACTCTTTAAAAGCTATATTTATGTATGTACATCCATTTCCATCTTCAATGTCACCACCTTCTTTGATATACATATATATATATATATATATATGGATGGATTTAAAAATTTTATTATTGGAGTATTAACGATATAATGAAAAAAATGTAAATTATTGATCTGAATAGAGTATTAGAGTATGTGATATAAATACCTTTGCATACTTCATTTTGATATGTGTGTATATATAGATATGTGTGTGTGTGCGTGTTTACCTTTTGGACGTTAAATAACATGCAGTACATATGTAGATAAAAGGACATATAAGCGTATGCATGTTCTGTATATTTCCTCCGAATTTATTTTGTTGTGGTACCACGGAAATGTTTGTCCCGGTCAAATACGTTTTTGTGTATAATGTGCGTATGTGTAACTCCAAAGCATATTGGTGTATATATAGATCGGTGGTATTATCAAGAAATCATTTTCGAATGTTTTTAAATTTAAATAATCCCATACACGAATACATATAAGATAATTTGATCAAAGGCAATACATATACGTGATTTAAAAATAATCTATGTAACAAATAGAGTAACTCAATAAATTCCACAAAACCCATAGTCGTAACTCAATAAGTACCATAAGATTAACTTAGTAACTGAAAATTGTCGTGGTACATGAAATGGCCTTTTGTGGATTAAAAACTCAAACTTCAAAACCAATAATAACGAAAACTTCCGACGAAATTTTAATTAATTTCTTAGAAATTGAAAATTCAAATACCCAAGGCGGAAAGCTGGAAATTTATATCCACGTACACCCGATGGTAGACACAATAGTTCTTCACTTTTAAATGCGTTTGCATGTCATTATCAAGGAAAAACCCTAAACACTAAAACAATATTATATTAATATATATATATATATATACACGCATACGTGTGTGTGCGTGTGATATCATGAAAGTAAAAAGAAAGAGGGGATAAACTTAAAATTCAAGATTCGGTATAAAGATTGTTGTTGATCAAAGTTAGAAAATATATGTTTTGGACTTTTTGGATGAAAAAGAGAAATTGAAAAGACAATATGTAAAGAGGATTAGGACCGTCACTTTAATGTTGATGGCCCGTTCTACTGTGTGCAAATCAATTAATCAAAGCCCTAACGATTAAAAAAAATATTTTCTTTTTTAGTATACCAAGTAAATTTAAACTCATTTGTAAAAAAAAAAAAAACAACTTCTTTCAATAACCAGACAACACACAGAAAATCCAACAGCAACTCTCCATAATTCCAGATAATATGCAAAAGCAGAAGAAAGATTATAAAAAACAAAGTGTTGTATCATTGGGTAGTAACAACAAAATTTCAATCAGACAACAAAGAAACAAAAATTACAAACAAAAAGGAGTTAGGGCACTGGTTTTTTGGTACAAAGATTTGTAATACCTCTGCCTATGCCATGGAGTAAACAATCTGAAAGTGTTCTTCACGAGTCTGTAGCCACAGCAGGAGCTTGTTTAAGCCTCCGATGATGAACATCCCAGTTATAAACACGGGCAATCGTCACCTGTTCATCCCGAAAAAAGTCAGAATTTAACCCGACGATCCATCATTCTGCATCTTAGCATTTGCTGAACCTTGTAAAATCTCAAACTTCATACGGATTAGAATTATGGGTGGTCTTCAGATTCGGATTCTGGTTCCTCTTTCGTGCATTTTCGCAAAGTTTGTCCTCGTAGGTGAAACCGGGCAGAGGTTCGGTTAAAAGTAAAAAAAAAATGAATTCACCTGAGTAATCGTGACTTGATCCCTCAAGAACTGTAAATCTCCTACAAGAACCTCCAGACTGGCTTTAGCATTTTCCAGATTCTTTTCCAAGAGAGCCGTGGCCTTCATGACAAAACAAGGAAAGATTTCAAGAAATTAATGTTGGGTCATTGGGTGCAAGAAATTAGAAGCGCCCAAGGGAATACATTTGTCAGAGCGTTGGTACCTCTTCACGTGAGTATTCGAGCATGACATTTGCTCCCAGCCACAAACAGACCGAGTCTGAATCTTCGATATGAGCCCGTGAATATATGCCTTCAGACACTTCAAAATCAGCAATAAGGGCCTGCACCATAAGTAAAAATTCCATACAAAAATGATCGAACATTGTCATGCCATAGAAAACCTGGTGTCTTTACAGCAAAGCAAGTTCCATAGGGAAAAAAGATGAAATATTGTTAGTATAAACACACGATAATATGTGTCAGCTGATTCTTCCACTGCGAGAGAGAACCATGTTCCCTTACACAACATGTTCTGTGGTCATCACCATGACTTAATGACCCCTCATTTCCCAGTTATAATGAACTAAATAACCATTGAGTTTAACTTTCATGATTCAGCTTTAATATCAGCCTGATTTTCTAATCGAAATCAGGGGAAAAAAATCCCCATCTCTATAAGCAAAAGATAACATAGCCAAAAGAGACATGTATGAGAGTCATCGGCATTAGCCTATGGGGCATAAAGAAGCGGATAACACGATCTTTCACAGTTCATGGGTACGCTACGAACTGTCCTTAATCTTCTAAATATAACTCAACTGTGAGCATTACTACCGATATCCATAAGAGAGTGAAATTATAACTAAGGTGAGAAGCTAGAGAGTACTCTAGTTGAGGCCCAGAAGAATGCAAATTGGCATCCTTTATAGTCTACATATACAAACATTGATTGAGCAAGACAAAACTCGACCTGATTTTTACCTCTTGTCAAGCAACGGTCAGAGCATCTGAGAAAGTAGTAAATGTGGCATTCGATCTAAATATAGCAGTTTGAAGGCCTCAAGAATACATGATCAGCGAATTTCAACAATTACAGTACAAGACTCATCCAAATAATACGACTTATCAAAGTATAGAGCGTTTTAAAAAGATCGATTCAAAATGAACAACGACGAACCTCACCAGTACCCATACTTGCTTGTAACGTGGAAACGGCATCGAAGCACTTCCCAATATCCGGGATTTTAGCCTGATTGCCACAGGAACAGAACAGAATGTTAATCAAGATTTTAAGGTTAAAAAAAGAAGCATATTTACAACCATCCAAACACAAGAAATGCATGAGGCTATCTATACAAGTGTGAGAGTCCCACATCTCAGTTCATCATACATACTTTACAGAGAATCGGAAAACAAATGGGTCTGATGTGTAAGGAAAGTGTAGCCAGAAAAGGGAACAGCACCTGAAGATCTCTTTGTTGGGCGAGAAGCTTCATCTCTACCACCTTATATTGCTGAAGCCTAAATTTACGATTCCACGACAGATGTTCAATTCAATTCAAACCATCTCGTTATATTTACGGAATGAAAGTGAAAGAACCTAAATCAAGATCAAACGGTAAAATCCCAACTCACGAAATTCGATTTCTTCAATGACTAAACTAATGCAATGGATTAAAAACCTGCCTACGATCAACTCTGAAGCAAACAGCTCCACGAACACACACTTACAGACGCCGACAGAGAGAGAGAGGGAGAGAGAGAGAACCTCTCCTGAAGGAAGGCAAGAGCAGAGTTTGCATCAAGACCGGACTGAGAGAGGTAAGTCTCGACGGCTTCGATGAATTTGGCGGCCGGAATCCCTCGTCGCTCCGTCAAATCTCCACCGCTAACGCTCGAACAAGACGACGCCATTTCCGACACCTGAAATGCAAGATCGAATCTGAATCTCAGGTACCTTTTGTCGGGATTCAGGGTTTCTCCACTGCGAATTCGGGAGCTGTATGGGTTTTTTTCTCGATTTCTAAATCGCCCGACCCCGACGACGGAATGGGTTGCTCTGACGTACGAGAGCTCCATGAAACGACGACGTCTTATGATAAGAGAAACGACGTCGTTAAAGGGCTCCTATTTTCAATGGGCTTGTGGGCTGATTCATTAGTTAAATGAGGCTCATTATCGGGGGACATGAAATGCCATCATTATGGGCTTTTTGTGAAATGGATTAATTGGGTACAACGGCCCATTATGCATGATACCCATGTTGTCCAGTGTATTTTTTTTTTGCCAAAATGGTTATTTCTAATAAATTCACCATACATTTATCTATATAATAATTCATTTATATGGCTATTTAATCACTCGACAAAACATAGTTATTTAATTTTTAAATTAAATAATATATACAATTTAATTAATGAGTATCGTTTTGAAAAAAAAAATTATAAATATGTTACAATATATAATGAAACATTATCTCGTTTGAAAGATTGTTTTTACACATATTACAATAATTTGGTGTGTTTAGTCAAGCAATGATTTTAATTTGGTTGGAGCATTTTTTTTATAACCGAGTATTTTGAACCAAAATCCAAACTAATTATGAAGTCAGAAACCAACGGGTGGACCATTTTTTTCCTTATATGGTCCGATTTATTTTGATTTATATTGTTTTTAATGTATTTGTTTGATTTGATTTGTTGATATATTTAAGAAGAATACTCAAACTTTATTTTATTGTGATTTTCATTCTGAAATTTAATGTATAGAAAATCCAACCCCAATTTTTTTATTAATATCTGAACCTCAATAATTCAATCATCTTAAAACTTTTTTGTTCCCTCTTTAAGGAATAAATAAATCATGATATTTTCGTTTATATAATAAAGTATCTCTCGGACATTTGGACAAGACATGGTGGTCAGTCCCATGTGCTTAGATGAACTTTTAGGCGACTTTTTTGCGTTTTATTTTTTGAAACTTTTTAAATATTGCGTGTCGTTTTCTTTCTTGGCGTTTTGTTGTGTTCCCAATGTTCTTCCCGCATACAAAAACAATTGTTTCATTAAAACTGTTTATTAATTATTAATTAGATTTTTTTTAAAAGGAAAACAAGTAGAGGATAATGTCCATACCAATTAGGGTTTTGAAGGAGGGAAATAAAATAAAAAAAACCAAGATATGCATGGTAGATATTTGGCCGGGTAATGTTGTATCGACACTATATATTCTGATTAAAGTATTGAGTGTCGGGTTAATCCCCTTTTGGTGATTTAAATGTATACCAAATATTTTATTGTAAATGTGATTTTATATTATATAAATCATATTGGCCGAAGGGTGTTAATCCCTTTGTATGGGCGGCGTAAGATCGTTAATTCCATGGTATTTCTTCTCAATTTCTGATAGAGATATTTGGATCGAAAATCTGATAAATTTTCGAATTATAAAAAAATCATTTTACTTCTCGTAAAGATTAATCACTCACTGATATTTTTAGTTTTTTTATATTATTACTCGATTATTTATATTCATTTTTTGTAAATATAAATATATATATATATTTATTCGATTTTATATTTTCATTTTTTATTAGAAGTAATAAGTATTTATTTAAAAAGTATTCGATTTAGTTTTTGTAAAATTTTTATTTCTATTTAAACTCTGTTTTCACTAAAAAGAGTTTATTTTAAAATTATATTATAATATGACATATTTATTTTAATTAAAAATTTATGAATTACCAAATGTTAAATCAAATTCCATTATACGTAAATAGTAGGATGGTCCATTTGTTTCATTAGTCAAAATCCGCCACCTTATATTCAATTGGTCGATATGAACCTCAAAGGCTCTTTACCTACATAACTTGTCCCAACAGAACACTTGTTACCTATTCCAAAGAATGCAAATAAAAATATATAAAAATCAGCTTAAATATAACAAATATGTTTCTTCATAATTACCCAAGCTTGGGTGGCCTAGTGTGAGAGAACATTCAAAGCATGCTCTCATCCTGGGTTCAAATCCATGCGTGGGGAAGGGAATTCACATGGGCTTCCTCGGTCCTCTGGGAGATGTAGTCGGACCAAAGACCTGGTGAACTTCCGGATTATCAAAAAAAAAATTCTTCATAATTTTAAAACCATATTATATATATATATATATCAATATTAGTATTTTAAAAATGGTTATTCGGAATAAGAAAAATTGGCAAGTGCCTTGGGGAATCCATGGATAGATATGGGCCAAAAGACGATTGGATAATTAACAAGCTACACGTACGCACTAATTCTAGTGGCTATAAATCAATCAAACGTCTAAGTCACAAGCAATGCCATTTCAATTTATTTAATTATATCATCATCTTTTTGTATCAATATGTTTCCATTTAGAATGAAAGATATCGAAGCAATTGACAATGGTTACAATTTACGAATAATAATATTCTGCCATTTTAATTCACTCAATTATGTAATTTTTTGTATAAATAACATCGAAGGAAACGAAACGATGGTATAAGTTGGGACCAAATATATATAGGGACACACACCAAACCACTTTTTTCCAATGATAGATATGTTTTTTCATTTGTGTCTTAACACAATCTTTGTGATTTATCCCCATATCTCTGTTTGTAGATTTGATAATTCTATCTATAGATCCTTTTCCACAATTAGTGTAAATTTTAATTTTTTACGTAATTAATCATATGATGAAAAATGTTAAAAGACCATAATAATAATAGTAATAATAATTTTCGCAATTATATTTGATGATGGAAAGCCTAGCCAGCTTGAGACGAAACCTGTTAACTATATTTTTGGTGTAAACATAGATAATATATATATATATATTAGATAATTGTGAAAAATTACAAATGATGATCTATTATTGGAAAAAAATAATTTTATCTGAATTTTTTCATTGTATCATTTATACATATATAAATAAAATTAATTTCATGGTGATTGGGGTGTGAGGGGGGACAATAAAGCCAAGAGATGATTGAGTGACAGATGTATCTCGTCAATGTTCATTGCTTTATATATTTCTTTCGCTCTTTCACCAATCACTTCAAATCCATTTCCACATTTATTAGCATTTTCTCTCGTGAAAATAAATTATTTAAAGTCAGAAATTCACTCTAGTAAATATATTAATGTGTTTGTGTGTTTTTTCTTTAATTTATTATTATGAAATTTTGATTCACATTTCCGAAGCAATTCGAAGAAAAATGGATATGTCAAGTGAAGACTGAAGAGAACTCAAATATCGGAAAAGAAGCGAAATGAATCAAGATTAATTTATTAAATATAAAAGATGTAAAAACAATTATGATAATATTTAAATATAAAAAAGCCAAGAAAAAATTAGATATAAGAATCAAACAGAATAACAAATGATACAAAAAAAAAACAGACCAAATCATCGGAAACCAATAATTATATTTTGAATAGAAATAAAATAATTGGTCAATATATCTAATAAAAGTACAAAAAATTACAGAAGATTATTATATTTAAAATATCGAAATATACCCAAGTTTTTTTGCATTGGGTGAAAATCTAAGAAAGATACGTCTATCCATTTTGGTATGTATTATATTCACTACAGATATATTGACATCCATTGTTAGATTTTATATCATCAGTAATAGACAAGAGGAGACAAAAGGAAGTACATTGAATGATGACCGTACATCTTTTTGTATTGGCACTGAATTTTCCAAGTTCTTTTATATACGTTTAAATAGTTTTTTGCTGAGGTGGAAAATTACAATCATGCATATATATATATATGTATGTATGTATAGTCGACAAGTTGTATAAACCTTAGATTTGGGGCGAAACGAATAACTCAACATTATATGTTCAATTTATTGTGTATCTTTGGATATGAATTAACACGAATACTCACCATCCCTAAAAACGGAGTTAATTTCCAAGTATTTAAATTATTCTCGTGCAAATTAGCATTATATATATATATATGTATGTGTGTGTATATAGAGAGAGAATTGCAGAGAGATTATTCAACAGAAACACTGTATATATATATATATAACAGAGGAATTGTAACAAAATGACGCTTCTACCCTCATCAGCTCGGCGGAGGAGCCGAGCCGGAGAGGAGCTCCGCAAGAGTACTCATAGCTCGGATTTGCATCTCCAGTGCCTGTATGTAATCAGTCGCTTCTTCCAGAATGACCGGCAACGGCTGTTTCCGGCAACCGGGGACCAACCGCCCGAGAACCTGCACTTTCCTCTGAACCGCCGGCAAACTCTTCGCCTTCAGCCTCACTACCGCCAATCTAGGCTTCCTCTGGCGTCCACTCGCGGCGATGGCTGGGAAGAACGTCAGGTTTGACTGGACGACTGAGTGCGAGGAGAG